ATCCATTTACTTATTCAGTCAGTCCGAATAGCGTGTATCACAGGTTCAGAAGTGTCAATTTATTGTCTAAACAGATTATTGGGGGTTGTATATGTAACACATATTATGCATATATATAGTCAAAAAAAGAAAGAGTTAAAATTCAAAAAGTAAATCTGGGAAAACAGACTTTTGAATATGAGTTGAACAACACAACACCCATGCCCCAAACAAAACTGTCAGAAAATTCATGGGCATTTAAATTTCTTATTTACCATAGGTGGCTAGTGTTAGTGCTTTTCATTTTGGTTTAGATCCATAATTATCTGGCAAACAGCACTTGCTCTAAATAACATTCTTCGTATAACACTAAAGTGGAGTTTAATGGGCTGTTGCTTCCATGGTGAATGTCTCCAATTTCTGTTCTGCCATTTCCTTTGGAACATACCCTGGTCAGATTTTCACTTCCCGTTACTCTGCCAGAACCACTTCTGTCAAGGAGACCAGTGACTTCCACGGTGCTAAATCCAGTGGTGAATTCTCAGGCTCTGTCTGACTCGACCTCTCAGTGGCATTCAACGTAGATGATCGCTCCCTTCTACTTGAACACTTTCTGCACTTGCCTCCAGATACTGTGCTCTTCTGGTTTTCCTCCTGGTTCTTCTCGGCCCCTTTTGCTGGGTTTTCCATACCTCTTTGAACTCTAAATGTTAGTATATAAGAGGGACCACTTCTCTTTTCTGTCTGTACTGCCTGTAAGTGATCCCACCCAGACTCATAGCTTTCGGTGATAGCCACATACTGGTGACATCCAAACTTATTTTTCTGGCCCAGACCTTCCCCCTGAGCCTTTCCCTTTTCCCTCACTTATCTTGCTCCTAATCAGTACCTTCACTTGGATATTTACTACATATTTCACAATTAGCAGGTTTTAAAGTGACTTCTGTATCTTCTCCCATCAAATCTACTTCTCCCTTAGTCTTCCCCATCTCTGTGAATGGCAGTCCCATTCTCCTAGCTGCTTAGTCAGACCCTTGATTCTTCTCCCATCTAAACTGTCAGATTATGAGGTCATCTCTATCCAAAAACACTGTCAAAGTCTATCCAAGATCGTGCTATTTCTTACCACTTCTACTGCTACTTCTGTTTCCTGACCACTCTTGTCTCTCATCTGGAATGCTCAGTAGCCTCCTAATTGGCTGCTGCTTCCCCTGCTCCCTGGCGCTTAATCTTTCATAGAGCAGATGACCCTATTAAAGTATACGCTACATCATCCCTCACTTCTGCTCAAGACCTTCCAGTAACTTCTAATATCAGAGTAACAGCTAAAGCCTTTTTAATGGTGTGCAAGGTTTTATAGCACTACTTCTCAGTCCATCTGTCATAATGAAGCAGTTTGACTTGTTTAATTTCTCATTTGAAGTGGAATGATACTTTACAAAAGCATGATAAAATGAGTTACATAGGAGCTTCCACTCTGGTTATGGTGAACTAACTGGTATCAGATTAGCTTTCCCACTATAAACAGCTAGAAAACTGGTCTGAACCAGTAAGTAGCACAGAACTGATTCCTGAGGGAAGGGAAGCAAATGAGAGAGGCCTCTGATTGCCCAGGCTTTCTGCTGGGAGGCATTTGCCAAACTCCAGGACGGGATACAAGCGGAGCAAGACAATCTTGCTGAGAATGAGAAGGAAGAGTTTGGAGTTTGGGGAGGCTGGAATTTGCACAGCGGAACACCAGAGAGGATGAAGTGTGCAGAGAAAGAACTCCGAAGAGAGCTCCCTTGAGTCTTTAGCTGAAAACTAAGCTGTATTTGCATAGAATGAGATTTCACGAGACCAGCAAAGAACAACTACCAGGGAAAAAACAACTCCTGGGGATTTGAAAATGGAACAGCTCCCTGAGCTCACACACGTTGTTTGAGTTTCAGCCAGCCAGAGTAGAGAGACATCATTGAACACTTGAGGCATTCAGTAAAGACCCCAGAAAAACCACATGTTAGGGGCTGAGTGAAAATAGCCCTAAATAAAAGTTATTCTCAATCCACACAAATGAAGCTTAAAGAGAAGCCTCAAAAGGATCACGCTGTCCACAGGTAAATTAACTGATTGCCACATTCTTTAGAGGAAGACAACAAAATCCAGACATTCAATGACATGATACTCAGAATTTGTACCATCTGGTAAAAAAAATTAGAAGACATAGGAAGAAGCACAAAAGTATGACCTGTAACCAGGAGAAAACTAGTTTATATAAACAGAGCCAGAAATAACAGACATGATATAATTAGCAGACACGGACTTTAAAGCAGCCATGATAAATAGCAAAAATATAAAGGAAAAAAATTAAAATAAAAAATATAAAGGAAAATATGAACAAAATCAGGAGGAAACGTGAGAAAAAAGAACCAAGTGTAAGTGTAATTAGAACTTTCTGCATATAGTCTACTTCCATAAAAAAATGTTTAAGTAAAAAAATGGAACTTCTAAAGTTTAAAGGGATAATACCTGAAATGAAAAATTAAATGGTTGGACCTAACAGTAGATCACAAGTTGCAGAAAAAGAGTTCATTGAACTTAAAGACATAGCAATACAAAACTATGCACAGTGAAGCACAGACAGAAGAATGGCTGAAAAATGTACTGAGCCTCAGTGACCTGTGGGACAATGTCACAGTATAACAGAGGGGGAAGAGAAGAATTATTCAAGAAAATAATTTTTTCCAAATTTCCAAATAAATTTTTACATATTCAATGAAAACTACAAACCCACAGATACAAGGAGCTCAGCATACTATAAGCAGGATAAACACAGAGAAAGCCATACCAAGGCACATCAGAATCAACTTGCTGAAAACCAGTAATAAGAGAAAATACTGAAAACAGCTAGAGAAAAAAATACATGTTACACGCAGGGAAACAAGGGTACGATTTTCCAATGACTTCTCTTTAAAAAGCAATGCAAGCTGGAAGATGGAATGATGTCTGAAAGTGCTGAGAGAATTTTGTTTTATTCTCCCTAAAATACAAAAATTTCCTACCTTTGTCCACTGAAAAGGTCTGGAAGCAGTGACAACCCGGGAACAGTGAGCACCCTAGTACCGTGATTGTGGCCTCTGAATACTCTTTCTCAGTAAAGGAAACCTGAGATCCTTGGAAGAATGGCTGATTGCAAATATGAAGCAGAATGTATACAAGATGAGACTGGGACATCTCATTGTGCAGACAAGGAAGCTCTAATGGATATGTCAGAAGAACACAGGAGCCTGCTTCCAGGGGCTCCCACTGGCCAAAGGTTAGGACAATTTGAATCCCAAAAAGATGAATGCAATGGATTGAAGCACATCAGATACATAAAAATCTATGACTTCATAATGATACTGAAAAACAAACTGCTAGGGCAGTAACTCGTTTTTCTGTTTTTGTTGTTGTTAAATAATAAGAAATATTAACCATTTGTTTTACCTTTCCTGAATGAGCAGTGTTTCACAATAAGCAAAGAGGTGAAATTAATAAGCAGAAAAGATGATAAAATTGGAAAATCAACATTTTGCAACACCTCATGAAATAGTGAATCTAGGCAAGAATCATCAGTACATGCTAAAACTATTAGGTGAAAAGTTGATCGGGGAATAATGGAGAGATGAAACCAAGAACATCTGAATCTACTAATCAGTATTTACCTTCCATTCCATTATGTGCCTCCTACTCCATTTATAAGCACACCATATTACATATGATGGATTCTAGACCCTTCCCAAAACAAAACCAAAGCAAAAACTTTAGTCAGACTTCAAGCTCTGACCCCACGGGAACTAGAGAAATGAATTAAATGACAACACAGGAAACAATCAATCAGATCCAAAATGTAGGATATGCTACAAGATAACCTGTTTTCTTCACAAATTAATGACATGAAAGAAACAGGAAAAAGGAAGAACTGTTATAGATTAAAAACAGAAGCATAATATCATATACAAACATATCAACCAAATGCAAAGTGCAGACCTGTTTGGATCTTTAACTATATAAAAGGATATTTTTTAAGATTTGAGGAAATTATTCAGATGGACTAAGACATTAAAGAATTTCTGTTTATTTTTTAGGTGTAATAGTGGTGTTGAGCTTGTATAAATTTCTTCTCTGATAGACATACAGGCTCAAGTATTCCCAGGTGTAATAGTAAATTATCTGGGATTGCTCTGGCCACCTCCTCCTGCACAAAAGTTGGAAGAAGGAAGAATAAATTAAACAAGTTGACAGAATGTTGATTTTCGTTGAACTCTGGTGATAAGTACATGAAGGGTAGTCTTTAGATTATTCTTTTTCTGTTTTGTGCAATATTTTAACATTTCTGTGGTAAAAAGTTAAAAAAAAAAAAAGATCATGTGCTTAAGGGCCTTCCGTGTATCTGTAAGAGAGTCTCACTCAGATTGTGTGCAACATTGTCTTACAATTACATACAATTTTAACAGTTTTAATTTTAATTTAATTTTGGTTTAAATGCCAATTTTATGAGAGAAAATAGAAAGATGCTAAAGACAATGTCCTTATAGAATAAAAAGGTTTAACCGGTGTCATGAGGTAACTCTGAAAACTCTTGCATGTAGACAAAAGCTATAGAAACACTAGGGGGCCATTTAGTGCTTAAATAGACCCACTCAATTTTCCTGCCAGGAGGCGTTCCCTAAAAGATGCATTCATCACAGAGCCCAGAACCTGGACAAAGTTCGGCAAGGCTCCTTGGCGACCCTTCCTTGGTTTCTCCTTCTTAAGGGCTGTAGTGTAGTCGGCCAGAGCCATCTCCTAGGGGACTGCTTTTGTTTAAAGGATTTGTGAGTGTATTCCCTGTGGTCTAACACCATATTCCATTCTGCATTGTGGTTTTTATTGTTTTCTGTATCATAATTTATTATTTTTTTTCTATTTTTCTTTGAAGTTTGCCCATTTTAATCCATGTTCATTTCTCGCCCTGTGTGTGTCTATGTCACGCTTGCTGTCTTTGCCTCCGTTGTTCCTAGGTTACAGTATAGCCAGGAGATACCCAGTCACTTGGCTGATGAGCATGCGCTGATAGCCTCCTATGTGGCCCGTCTGCAGCACTGCACACGGTCAGTGGTAGAGCAGCAGCAGCAGGCGGGTGGCCAAGGGCTGATCAAAGGGCGGGAGAGCTCTGTTACCCGGGGTTGCCAGCTGGAAAAAGCTGTGCATGTGGGGTTTTTCTTGAGAAGCTACCAGCTGTGTTTGGCAGAGTTTAAATAATTGCTAAAGCATTAGCTTCTAAAAGAGAAGGAGCCTTGCCAAGCTTGGGCACTTACCTAAACATATAGTCAGAAATTCTTTAAAGTGGAGTTCCCTTCCTTCAGATGACAATTAAAGAGTGTATGACCCTCAGAGAGGTGTGTGGTCCCAAAGATGTGCATTCGCAGAGGTATTTGATGCAGCCTCTTACTGTTCATTCTTGCCTAAATAATGAAATCTTTCAATCAACATTCAAGGTTTAGGGTTGATCAACATATTGTCTAATCTGGGGGGTTTGACACCATCACCTTGTTACATCTTTGTATGTTGCATCGTCATCTGTTCCCCAAAATCAATCATTATTAATTATTTAAACCAATGATTTTCAAAAGTCGTAGTGGGTCATTGTCACCTGAGGGACTTTTTCCAAACTATATATACCCTCTCATATTATAATAATTATATGTATTGTAATAGCTCCTCATACCTCTTTCCCTGGAAACTACTGTAGTGGTGTCTCACTGTTAATATGGGAATATGACTGATCCCTCATTGGATTAGGATGGAAAAACATTTGATAACCACTAACTATAGCGAAGTTGATCTTTTAAAAGAGTTAATACTAAGCAAAGTGCCATTCAGGCAGACCCAAAGCCACCTGCCCAGTCCATGCCCACACCCACTACCATTTTGCAAGGAGAGTGGCAGGTCAAGTTTAAATAACCTAAAGACATCTGACCCCTCTACATAGCAACAAAGAAGAGTCTCTATGCCCAAGAACCTGATATTATTGAAAACAATTAGTTATAAACAAAAAACAAGAGAGAATGGAACCTTAAATTTTGATCTTAGTTTTGCCCTTAACATACCATGACCCCACAGGAAACCCTTATTCCTAATGATAACAGAAAAATGAATTAACAATCTATCCATATATGTGTGTATATGAAAAGGACTGTTTTAAGTATTATACATCATAGCGTGCCCCATACTTTTCCCAGTATGACCAAACAGCATTATTATTTTTAGGCATTTACCTATCTCTAAAGCCTTAGAGAGACTGTAGGGTTCTCCTGCCTCCCAGCTGTATTCTATGGGAGGGGAGGCCTGATAATTGTGAGTTGTATCACGCAGAGTGTCTCCTCATCCAGCAGACAATTTCCAAGCACTCTCTCCGAGACCCTCAGTCTCTAGGAAGAGTGTTGTCTCACTCCTGGCAGAACAGCTTATTTTTTATTGGTAAGGGCGATTGTCCAAGGGATTAAAAGTTTCCACGGTGAATATCGCAGCAGAATGTTGGTCAGAATACTACCTGATATTTCAGCCCAGGAAGATTTATGCTGGGAGGGTTTAGCTGAGATCTCAGGTCTCATGGCTTAGGGATTAGGCTCACTGAGCAAGAATTGGTGGCCAGGAGCCCTGGAAGAACATGAAGATTGGGTGAGTACTGCATCTCTTCTTGATTTAAGATCTAAGGAACTGAGCTGCATACTTCCTCAAAGTCAGACATTTCCTGGCTAACTAATTCTGAAAATGAAAATCAGCTCAAGCAGAAGAATAAGGAACCTTTCTAATTTCCCTCATAGTTTTCACTGACATTAAAACCTCTCATCAACGTCAAGTTCTAGTTTCTGGCTGGAAAGTACAACCAGTTAAAGCAACTATGTCATCCGCACCCAGGTCTAAATGACAAACAGGGCTGACCCTCCCAGGGAGATGCACTGTGGTGCAGAAAGGAGAGCTCTTTTGCACACAGGAACCTATTGTATTCTTTGCCAAAAAACAGAGGACAGCCACTTTCAGTCCCACTTCTTAGGCTGCCACTCCCTCCATAATAGTGTCCACTTGTATTGTGAAATGTTCATTTTGTTGTCCATGCCCACACCCACCACCCATTTAAAAGATAAAGATAGTCCTCTTATTTCAGAGAAACATCTTTAAGGCACAAATATTACAGTTCAGCCCTGACCTTGGAGCCGTGACCCTAAAGTATTAAAGCCAACTTATGGTAGCATGTTCTTATTACGAGGTTATCTTTTGAGAAGATGATAACACATGCTAGAGACTGACATTTGCATACCTAAAATTATGTAGTGTTGAGAAGTGTCATTGGCAGGAGACTTACAGCACATTTTTTTTTAAAAATCCATTTTAGAGGAAAGACCAAGTTAAGCTAAACACAGAGACAGAAATACAGGAAGGTTTAAAAAAAAAAACTAAGGAAAATATAGTTAATTTCATACAGGAAAAGTCCAAACAGATCTCTGTTAATTTAGCTTCATCCTTCCGAGATTCCCCTTAGTAATTATAATAAGATTTAACGAATATTGAACTCATGTCTTTAATTTTTTTTCACATTTTTGTCATATTTCATATCTTGTCTTTCTGCTAAATCCCAATCAAGGGTTTTTGGAACTCCAAGAACCTAGAGCCAAAGTAGATGCAAGCCACGGCAGCCATCTCTGGTCAGTGAGTCATCATCACTCATGTCTTAAAGCATCTGCCAGACTTCAACACAGAGAATTATATAGCCACAGTCCCAGTTAGTTTAGGTGTGCCCTGATGGGGATAAACATAACATGCTAAATTAAAGGAGTAAATCATAATCAGCCAAGAGCTCCCTGTTAGCAGCACAGGTACACAACACTAGCCTACCACTCAAAAACCCTTCTTTCATCCAGGTGTGGCACCATCTGATATCCCACCTTAGTGGATCTTCACATTTTTAGAGTGCCAGAACTCTTGTTTAGAGTAAAGGACTAGGGGAGTGGTGGTGGAGCTCAGTGGCAGAGCACGTGCTCAGCATGCATGAGGTCCAGGGTTCAATCTCCAGTACCTCCATTAAAAAAAAGAAATGAAAGTAACAGACTAAATAATTTCAATCTAAGACGGGGCTCCTGTTATGGAGCAAGCATAGTAAAAGAAGAGAAAGGCACTGAAAGGGAATGTTGGATACCAAGGAATCTTCTCCAACTCCACCCTCTATTGAACCTGCCCCAGCTTGTGTTCCTCAGTTCTGCTCAACCAGTGTTAAGTGTACTTTTCCTCAGCCCTCTGTTTTTCATGGTGCTTTAGTTTTCTCTTGGTCTTTTTGAATTCAAGACCTGTATCTAAAAGTCATGAGGATTTTTTAAACGATTGGAAATCGTTCTCTCAGAATTTATAGATGCCCTGTCTTTTCTCAGCCCTTGCATTCAAAAAGAAGTGCCCCTCTGATGGTGTGGGAGCAACAGGGATATCTTTCTAAAGAGAAGTGATACACATGGCCTCATCATTTCTCTAAATCCCTTGTGTCTCAGAAGACCAGTAGTATCTATGACCCAGGTCTCCATTTCTTTCGTCATCCTTCTTTTTCAGAAGCATTTCTCCCATCTGTGCTTTCTGAGAGAGAAGCAAGAGTAAGGGATGTTTAATAGACACCTGTTGAATTTTTATCTCCTTGGCAGTGTCCTGGACAGTCCGAGCCGACTGGACGAGGAACATCGGCTTATAGCTCGCTATGCTGCCCGGCTAGCTGCAGAGGCAGGAAACATGGTGAGTAAATAGAGGACTCCAGTGGACTAGCAGAAATTTGCATTACTTTAATATACAATTGGTAAGGGAATGGTAAACATGAAACTCAGAAGAGTAGATACCTCAGAGACAGGAGGAAGAGAATGGGTTTAGGGAAAGGACTGTAGTCGCCTTTAATTCTATCTTCAATATTGCCTTTCTTTAAAAAATGAATCAATAAAAGAAAATCAAATAACCAGAATTTGGTTCTTTGAAAAAGGTCAATAAAATTAATAAGCCCCTAGAAATCCTGATCAAGAAAAAAGGAGAGAAGATGTGGAGAAAAGGGAACCTGCATACACTGTTGGTGGGAATCTAAATTAATACAGCCAGTATGGAAAACAGAATGAAGCTTCCTTAAAAAACTAAAAATAGAACTACTGTATGATCCAGTAATTCCACTCCTGGGTATGTATCTGGAAAAAACGAAAACACTAATTTGAAAAGATGCATGCACCTCAGTGTTCATGTTAGCACTGTTTACAATAGCCAAGACATGAAAGCAACCCAAGTGCCCATCAGCAGACGATTGGATTAAGATGTGGCATATACATATATATATACACACACACACATACACATACATACACAATGGAATATTATTAAGATATTAAAAAAAGAATGAAATATTGCCACTTGCAGAAACATGGATGGACCTAGAAGCTATTACACTTAGTGAAATAAGTCAGAAAGACAAATACTATATGGTATCACTTATATGTGGAATCTTAAAAAGCAATACAAATAAGTGTATAAACAAAACAGAAATAAACTCCCAGACATAGAAAACAAACTTGTGGTTATCAAAGGAGAGAGGGAAGTGGGGAGGGACAAATTAGAGATATGGGATTAACGGATAGAAACTACTATACATAATAAAGTAGATAAGCAGTAAGAGTTTACTGTATAGCACAGAACATTATACTCATTATCTTGTAATAACATATAATGGAATATAATCTGCAAAAACTCTGAACCACTATATTATATACCTGAAACTAACACAGTATTGTAAATCAAGTATACTTCAATTAAAAAAAGAAAGAAAGGAAAGAAAGAAAACACAAATTACCAGCATCAAGAATGAAAGAAGGGACATTGCTACAGATCCTGTAGACCTTATAAGGATGATGAAATACTATGAACAGCTTTTTGCCAATAAATTTGACAACCTAGATGAAATAGACAATATGAAAGACACAAATTAACGAAAACTGACATCAGAATAAATAGAAAATCTCAATAGTTTTAAAATCCTTTAAATAAGTTGAATTCATAATTAACTTCAAAAACTCCAGGCTCAGATGGCTTAACTATTGAATACTATCATATACTTAAAGAGGAAATAACAGTCTGGCACAAACTTCTAGAAAATAGTGAGAGAAGGAACACTTTCCAAATCATCAAGCCACTAAAACCCAATACCAAAACAATACAAGGACACTGCAAGAAGAGAAAGTTGATGACCAAGTTCTACCATGAACATAGTTGTAAAAATCTTACCAAAATATCAGCAAATTGAATCCAGCAATATGTAAAAAGGATAATACTCCATGACCAAGTGAGATTTATCCTAGGAATGCAAATTTATTTAACACAGGAAAATCAGTCAGCGTAATTCACCACGTTAGCAATTTAATTAAGAAAATTGTAGTATTGCAGTAGATGCAGAAAAGGCATTTGACAAAATATAATACCCATTTTTGATAAAACTTCTCAATACTATAGAAGAAACTTCCTTAGCTTGATAAAGAACACCTGCAAAAGACCTACAGCTAATAAAGACACTTAAAGACTAAATTTTGGAATATTTCCCTGTAATATTGAGAACAGGTCAGAGATGTTTAGTTCCACCACCTCTATTCAAAATTGTACACAAGGTCCCAGGCAGTGCAATGTGACAAGAAAAAAATGGCTTAAATATTGGAAAGGAAGACGTAAAACTCATTATTTGCAGATGACATGATTGTATATAGGAAGTCCTAAGGAAAGTCCTGTAAGAACACTACTAGAAGTTATATGACTTCATAACAGTGTGGCAGCATACAAAATCAATATGTAAAAAAATTTTTTAACATTTTTTATTGAGTTATAGTCATTTTACAATGTTGTGTCAAATTCCAGTGTAGAGCACAATTTTTCAGCTATACTTGAACATACATATATTGTCACATTTTTCTTTTGCTGTGAGATACCACAAGATCCTGCATATATTTCCCTGTGCTATACAGTATAATCTTGTTTATCTACTCTGCATTTTAAAATCCCAGTCTATCCCTTCCCACCCCTTCCCCCTCGGCAACCCCAAGCTTGTACTCTGTGTCTATGAGTCTGTTTCTGTTTTGTATTTATGTTTTGTGTTTTTTTTAGATTCCTCATATGAGTGATCTCACATGGTATTTTTCTCTCTCTCTCTGGCTCACTTCACTCAGAATGACATTCTCCAGGAACATCCATGTTGCTGCAAATGGCGTTATGTTATTGGTTTTTGTGGCTGAATAGTAATCCATCATATAAATATACCACATCTTCTTTATTCAGTCATCTGTTGATGGACATTTAGGCTGTTTCCATGTCTTGGCTATTGTAAATAGTTCTGCTATGAACATTGGGGTGCAGGTGTCATTTTGAAGTAGGGTTCCTTCTGGATAGATGCCCAGGAGCGGGATTCCTGGGTCCTATGGTAAGTCTATTCCTAGTCTTTTGACTAATCTCCATACTGTTTTGCATAGAGGCTTTCCTTGCTTCCCTCTCCCACTCTTAATGATTTAGATGTCTTCTTTTATAATTTTGTGTTTATTCTTTTTGTAATTCATGGCAGTTATCTCCTTTCCAGTTATGAGTTTCTCATTTTTGTAGCATCCTGCTTCTTTTCTATTTAGAGTAGACCTGTTAATATTTCTTTTAGCATGGGTTTAGTGTTGCTAAACTGTTTTAAGTTTTGCTTGTCTGTGAAGTTCTTTGTCTCTCCTTCTATTCTAAAGGATAGCCTTGCTGGATAGAGTATCTTAGGCTGCATCTTTTTTTCATTCAGGACTTTGATATCTTGCCACTCCCTTCTGGCCTGTAGTGTTTGTGTAGAGAAATCAGCTGAGAGCCTTATGGGGGTTCCCTTGTAACTCACTCTTTGTTTTTCTCTTGCTGCCTTTAGGATTATTTCTTTATCCTTGACTCTGGTCATCTTGATTATGATATGTCTTGTTGTGGTCTGTTGGTTCTTCTGTTGGCCCTTTGTGCCTCTGTACTGGATATCTGATTCCTTTAGGTTCGGGTAAGTTTCAGTCATGATTTC